TTCGCGGTCGGCATCTCCCCGGCAGCATGGGCTCTGCTTCAACCCAGCTTTCCCAGGTGGTCCCGGCATCTTCAGGCCTCCATTGAGATGTGGGCATGGGGCTGGGGACACGGCAGCGTCTCCCTCTGGCACAGTAGGGTCCTGGCAGCCTGGGCTGGGCAGGGGGCAAGCAGCATCCACGTTTGCTGCAGACAAGAAAAGGGGGTTACAGGGCTCACAAAGTGGGGCCAGGTGGGTCCCGGGGAGAGGGTCCAGTCCCTGGGGACACGTGGGGGAGAAGATGGGGCTGGAGCAGGAGGAGTCTGCAAGATCCCCACCACACCTCTCCAGCTGCAGAGCTCCTTCTGATTACAACTGATGGGGTTTTTCCCCCCTAAAAAAAAATAATAGGGAAAGGCAGAAACTCTCACTTGCAATTTGAGCCCTCTTGCTAAACCCTGCGAGTGGCAGAGCAGCCTGGCCCTTGGCAGCTCGCCCTCCCTGACTGCCTCCCACTTAAAAATAGACTTGTTTACACGCTTCGAACGCAGGCGGGTGCCGCCAGCCCCAAGGCTCCTGCGACTTTCCACGCATCCAGTGCTGCAGTGGTGGGCTTGCTGGGGTGCAGCCCAGGGGGATGAGGGGACCGGGAACCAGGGCATGTGGCAGGGGAGTATCCAAGGGGAGCCTCTGACACTCTTGATCACAGCTGGACCTCTCTTGCTGCTGGATTTCTCCCTCCTCTTTCGTTCTTGGTATTTTTCCCGGGTGCACGTGTCATGGGCTGTCGCAGCCACATTTGGTTTAGAGGAAAGGCCCCAGGTAATGTCCCCCCCAGTCTGAGTCACCCGGCCGGCACTGCCAGCAGTGCATGGGCAAGCTGGAGCATGAGGACGAGTTCCCCCTGGCCCTGCCACCCCCTGAGTGTTCCCACCCAGTTGGTGGGGTGGTGGCGGGTGCCAGCATCCCCCAGGGCAGCCCCTCATGGGGATCCCATGGAGCCATACCCCCTGCCTGGGGACAGGGAGAGGTGAAGCCAGGCAAGACCATTTCTGAGAAGAGTGGCCAGGGTTGAGTCGGTGCCGGGGCGGGGGTCCCCAGGGGACAAAATGGCCACCCAGACCCCAGCTGATGCCCCAACAAGATGGGCCATCACAGGGCACCGTGTCCTCACCCCCCTGGAAATACCCGCCAGGAAAGGCTCAGCTCCGTCCCTCATCCCCCAGCCCTATTTTAGATGCCTTTGGGGACGACCCTGTGTGGTCCTCCAGCGTCCTGCTGACAAGGCTGGCCCTGACACCATTGGGGTCTTTGGGGCACGCGTTGGAGGGCACTGGGCATCCCAAACAGCAGGCTGGGCAGTCAAGAGGGACCCCCACTTGGAGCCATCTCCAGATGTCTACCCCCATTCCATCCATGGCCCTCTGGCTACTGGGGGAGAAGGAGATGCAACTCACTGGTACTCGGTACATGTCCTCTGTGGAGAGGGGATGGTGCCAGCAAGTGTTTTAAGCAAGCAAAGGCACAGGAGGACCTGGCAAAGGGAGGGACAGTTAAAAAAAAGGTGCAGGCATGAATTCCCAGGGGACATGGAACTCTGTCACTTGGGGGGTGGCTCAGCTGCCCCGAAATGTCCTGGGGTGCCCATGGAGTCGAGATGGAGGATCCAATCTCAACAAGGACATGTCTCAGGGGAGCCGGCAGCAAGTGATCCCATCTGCCCTGGCAGCCTTGGGATGCTGTGACAGGGAAAGCAAGAAGTTCCCTACCTTCGGCCTCCTCGTCCGCTGCCTTTCTCTTCCTCCTCCGCTTTCCCACCTTGCAGGTCAGGAAGCCCCAGAGAGTGGCCAGAGCAAGGATGAGCCCCACCACCGCTGGGACCCAGAAGATCAGGAGGGTGCTGGGCAGGTCCACCGACGGGGAGGTGGGCTCCAGGGCAGAGGTGGGTGTTGGGTGAGCAGGATCTGCTGTGGGGCAAGATGCCGGCAGTGTCAGGAGGGGGAGAGCTGAGGTGAGGGAAGGAGGGCAGCAGTGTTACTCACCTGTCCATCCAGCCTCAGGGCTATGGAGGTGGGGAAGGAGAGCAGCTCTTCACCACTACCTACCCACCAACTGCCATGCACTGTCCCCCCGCCTGGTGGGACCCTCGTCCCACTCACTGCCATTCCCGGGTGGTGGGAGATGAGGGTGTCTCGCTCTTCCCACGGTCACCCCTGGGGAATGCTGTGACCCCCACACTGAGCTGGATCATCCCTCTTTGCCCTGCACTGCACTCCCTTTGCTCAGCTGGCTGCCCTCTTCCTCCCTCGTCCTCTTTCTCTTCCAGGTGAAGTCAGCCCTCCACCCTCCATCGCCACCTCCATCGCCATCCGCAGGAGAAGGTCCCCTCCACCTTCCCATCCCTGGAGTGCCGCCAGCCCCCTTGACCTGCCACCACCCAGCCCCACGGTGCTCAGTCCCTGGCCACCCTCATCCTCTTACTTGCATTGTTGTCCTTGAACAAGTCGGAGCACTTGACGCAGGACTTGGTCAGGGGGTCAAAGCACTGGGAGGAGAGGCAGGAGGAGGCGTCAGCAGCGGCTTTTCCCAATGAGGACATGGCTGAGCGGGAGGGAGATCTGTGCTCCCGCATGGCGCAGTGGCAAGGGGGCCGCCCGAGTGTGAAATTGAAGCGCCGCGGGGCCCGTGGCAGAGGGAGATACAGTCTGTCAAGCTGCGTTGGCTCCCTTGGGGCTTGCGATCACTGCGCTGGCCCCGGGGCGGATCTTCACAGGGGAGGAGGAGAGCGAGTGCCCAAGCTCTACCCCTGCCTGCCCATGCGACGCACCCTCAAACTACTCTTCTCCTCCAAAATATGCCTCTGAAATCCCCACAGCCCATAGTGTGCCCCAGCCGCACAGCACCCTGTGCCCAGCAGCTCAGTGCCCCAACCTGGTGGTGTCACCTCCTGGGCTCTCACCCTTCCCCAACCCACCTGTATGTCATCCCCAGCCTGGGCATGTTCCCCAGCACACACTGTCCCTCTCGAGCCAGCGAAAAACCCCCTCACCATCCCCCAGTGCCCACAGGAGGCTTCTTTGTGCCCAGATCTTTACAAGACACTATCCCAGAGCCACAGATCCTGCTTGGACGGAAAATGCAGAAAAGGACTGGAGGAGAAAAGAGTGCAAGGGCTCTGGGGTTTCCCCTTTTAAAAGCTCCCACTGCCCTCAGGACACAGCCTGTTAGTGATTTCTGTGCAGGCAGGGCAACTGGTGTGTGTTCTCCACCCCTATTAATGATAGTGCTCTCGGTCACCTTGCTTTCTGTGTCCTCTCCCACCCAGACCTAGATCTGTGGCAAGGACCCTCCCTTGGCACCATGTCTCGTTCTCCTGGGTTCAGATCTGTCTCTGCTCAGTAACTGCCCAGGGCATGGGCAAAGCAGGTCACACCAAAAGTCCAGTCCCCATATCCTTGGAAGGGACTAAATAAACCCTTAATGGTCTTATGTTCCTGATCATGAGCAGGAGAAACCTGCCAACAGCACCCACACGTCAAAGCCCGATGCTTGAGATCTGAAGTGGATGAGTGATGGATTTCAGTGCTGCAGGTGGCTCTTCTCCATCCTTACCAAACAAAAGTCATGTCCCCTTTTCCTTCACCCCATAGGAAAGAACGGGACCAGCCATGGCTGCTGGGTTCCTCTCAGCTGAAGGAAGCAGCACAGGAGACCTGCCCTGGCCAGGAGAGCCCTAATGGGGCTTCACTGCTGGAATCCCATCCTTGCAGTAGCTGCATCCGGCGGGCTCTTTCTAGCAAGGTCTCTGTCACTTGTTGTGCTGAGCTGAGGCTGAGAGGGGAGGAGGAGAAAAGCCAAAGGATGTTCTGGCTTGAGGTGGCAGAGTACCAGGCATCCCCACCAGGCAACTGAGCTCCTCTGAGACAGGCCAGAGGACTTGGTGCCTGGATGTACCTGCCCGTCTCCAATGGCTTTTGGGCAAGCTGAGCCCACAGCATCCACACCCTACCCCCTGAAGCCCCAGGTGGGATGCAGACACTCTCCCAGTGCTCTGACCGCATCTGAATCCCGGCTGGCAGCATCTCTGGAGGGTGTCTTGCACCAGGGCAGTGCCCAAGTGCCCCCAGCACTGTCTCAGCCCTCCCTGCCGGGCGCTGTGGGGCTCCGGGTGAGTGAAAGTCCCAACCAAAACTGGTTGCTGCCCACTGGTTCCACGCCTGCCGCAATTTCACTTCCCTTTCCAGCCAGCATGCCCAGCCACTCGCTCCCTTGCCCCTCGCACACATGCACAGGCGCCTGGCTGCCGGGGAGTGCCCTGCCTGGCTGCGTGTGCCGGCGGGGATGGGGTGGGCCTGGCCAGGATGGCCGTGCCAAGCCTGGGGGGCTGTGGGCTCCTCCGAGGAGCTGCAAGAGCCCAGACACTGTTCCTGCACCTGTGACTCAGTTATTCGCCTTCTCCCTTAGTCAAAGTAAAACTCCCCAAGTGAGTGGGAGCATGCCGAGCACTTCCCTCTCTCGGCGTGGCCCCGAGCTCTGAAGCCACAAGCGGCATGGCCAGCTCAGCACCCTCTGCCTCGATGCATGCACTGAACAGGCTGCGCTTTCCCCTGCGCAGGTAGCTGCCAGGGGAGGACATGTCTCCATATCCCACCTCACCTGGCTCCCTGCCTCTTGTGTGCCCCAGGCAAGGAGTGAGGCCCTTGTGGAAGCATGGGAACAGGAGGGGTGCGCGTCCAGTGGTAGGGTACTCCAGGAGCACCTCTGGGGGGTCAGAAAACCACAGTACAGAGCGCTGAGGGGTCAGGAGAAAAGCTCAGGCTCACTCCAGACAACATATGAGCTCCACAGTGGAGAGCCCTGAGGAGGAGAGGGCACCCGGAGCGCTCATTGTCCCTGTCAGGCAGCTTGCAGAAGCGTAAGGATAGGGACTAGGGAGCAGAAAACATCTTGCCTTGGTGGCTGGTGGGGCTGCAGCCGTGCATGGAGAGCCAGAGGACCCCCTCAATGATCCAGTGCTCTGTCAGGACACCTGCCCCTGGAAAACCTCCCTGCTCCAAAGGCTGTGCTGTTCCTCTTGCCCTGGGGTGTTTCCACCTGCTGGTCTCCTTTTTGCAAAGGGGGATGCTCCTCCGTCATCTCCCTCTCGCTCTCCCCCCCCAAAATCCCCGCTGTGCTTCCCCCGCATCAGTGATCTCTCAACGACCCCCATCTCCATGGGTCCTGCTGTATCATTGTCCCCCTGCCCCTCTCCCTTCCCTTCCTTCCCTGCTTGGTTTAACACAGTGGGGGAAATGGGTCCTACAGCATCTGCCGTAACATGCTCACAGATTAATTCTGTGACTCCTCCAGTCAAATATATGCACCAGGGAAATCCCAAACCGAGGTACCTGCATGTTGCTTTTGACGTGGAGGGTGAGGTTTACAACAGAGCTCAGGAGCTGATTGACGGGTCCTGTTGTGGAACCTGGAGTGAAAACCTGAAGCTGCAAGTGCATGGTGGGGAGCCCGGGGATGGCAGCTATGATGTCCTGCAAATAAAGCGCTCCCAGATCCTGTTAGGTAGAAGGATGTTGCAGCTGCTTCGCTGTGATTGATCTTACCCTGTCCCCCCCATTTTCTGAGCTCTTTTTATCCCCATCTACAGCTCTTCCACACTCCCTTCCTGGCCCATCCGCCTCCTCCTGGGCCAAGAAAATGATGTTTGAATTCACACATGATAACGCTTACTCATGGAGAAAATCACCACTGACTTCCCCAGCGGCACTCGCACGTGTGCCTGCTCGCCAGCGTGGCCCAGGCTGCCTGGCAAGCTCCGAGCATCAGCTGTCCCCCACTTCATCTCCCCCATCTTTGCCTCCCCTGCTCTTCGTAACGGCAGCTGATCATTTTTGGAGCAGCAAAAGTTAAGGCTTTGTGAGTAGTTTGAACTGTTTGCATCTAAGAGCTGAATACGCTTGATAGTAGCACAAATGCATAATTAAAGAGCAGAGAAAATGACTCACTGGATAAGGAAATGCGCTTTTCTTATCTCCTCTGCAGAGAAACGAAAGCCCCGGGAGCCTGGGACTTGGGCTAAGTAAGTGCTTTTATTAAACAAATAAACCAGTAAAGATATCAAACGAGCTATTTAAAAAATATTTCTTAATCCTGGAGCCGGAGAGCTCGATTTCCAGTGCTGTTTACTTCAGCTGTGCACTGGGAGGGCCAGCTTTGGCCAAGGTCAGCTGCTAGGACTCCCACAGAGACCCCAGGAAGGGACGGGGCAGCACCGGTGACTCCGGGAGTAGGGAGGGATGTTGGTGTCCTGCGAGCACTCATGTACACATGAGCGACTGGACTCATGTGAGTGGTTCCTGTGGTGTCAGAGGTGGGTGATATGACTCACACACACACTTGCAGAACTGCCTGTAGCAGAAAATATCCACCGAAAGTTCACCTTGTGCTCGTGTGTACCGGAAACCCAAAGGCTTGTCGATTAGAGAAGCCACAAGGTGTTTATCAAGCAGACCCTGTTACCTTGGGTCAAACCTCTGACAGGATGCACCCAATCAATGCTCTGGGAACGCCTCAGCACAGTCCAACATCTGCCCCGCATCCAGATGGTGCCGCTGGAAGGCTTTGGTTGGAGCCAGCCCCCAAAGCACATTCGGCACCCCACCGCTGCACCCCTTCCCAGTGCCTCTGCGCCAGCTGGTGGGAAGCACCATCTCCCAAAAGGTCCCACTATGACTTTCAGGAGCCAGGTTCTCAGGGCTCCAGCGCAAACCTCCTCCTTGGGATCCACCTGGATGCCCCATCATGGCCCAGCCTCTCCTTTGCTCTGCCTTTTCAAAGCCAGCCGGGCTTAGGGACAAAATCTGGGAAGACTTTAGGAATAAGGTGGGAAAATGAAGGCTTCAGAAGATTCACCAACACCCTAAACCCAGCCCCCTCCATGAGCATTCTGCTTTCTTACCAACGATTTTAGTGGCACTGCTCAGCCACCTGAACGGGAAGTCTGGTGTGAGGCAGTGCCCCAGTGGCACCGCTCTGCTGAACGTTTGTCTCCTCCCCTTCTTGTTTAAAAGCCCCCAGAGCTGTGCTTGTCCATGAGGTTAAGGAAAATGAGCAGATGTCCTTGGCTCCCTCTGCTAGGGGACTTGGACCCCTCCAGAGGTGATGCTGAGCACCCAAATTGGGCTTCCATGGTGGGCTGCCCTTTGAAGACCCCTCCAGAGTTGCAGAGGCAGGGCAGTGGGTCAGCACTGCCTGGGCTCAAGCTCCCTCTGCCCATTCCACCTCCCTGCTCCAGGGAGCCCAAGAGGGACACAGCAGCACTGAGGACATGGGGGACTCCCCCTCCCTGATCCTGCCCTGGGGGAGCTGAGCCCTTGTCCTCCCGTGCCACGAGCAGGTCGAGGGGAGCAAGGGGTGTTTCCAGCTGGTGTGCTGGCTGCTCTTGCTGCTCCTCAGAGTGTGATGGGACTCTCTTAGCGAGGCTTGGGTCCCTGGATGCTACCCAGGCACTCACAAGCCCCTCCACGTCACAAGTGACACACCATTAGCTGAGCCTGGCTCTTCTGCCTGCATGTCCCTGTGAGCAAATCCCCCTGCCCGCTCTGCCTGCAGCAGGGATGCTGCCCCTATCCCCAC